AAGGACAAGTGTGGGGGAGTTGATATGTCTATATTTTACATCATTTAGATTGCATTTTAGAGTCCTTATCATGTGTTTTCCCATGTAAATTGAGTCTTTAGGCATCAAAATAGGATTTAGGGCTTGCATTAGGTCCCAAAGAGTTTTGCATGTTTTGAAGTCTTTATCAGGTGCTTTGGGAGCCATTTGGAACTTAAGAAGAGGAGCAGAAAAGAAAACGGTGAAGAAAAGGGTCAAAAATGGTGAGATACGCTTGGAGGAATTTCTCGGCCAAAACTCGTACTGGCTGGACAGAAACCTCGGTCAAAAAGCTTACCGAACGCTCATTATCGGCCAAAACCCTTACCGATCGACCAAAATCGACCAAAGACGAGTATCGGGTGCAAATTACCTCGGGTTAAGTTTTTGGCCGAGGCGAGAGGAATTTTACGGCTAAAAAGCTTACCGCGGTACATAGCCCTCGGTCATTTTCCTTACCGCGGGAAGCTTTTCTCGGTTAAAACCTGTCCTTGCCCGCGCATTTCAAAGATCAGCAATCCGGGGAACCTTCCGGTCCGAATCAGTTGGCGGGGTCTTTATCAAAGATGGAGATAATCAAACAAAGATCCCAGAACAGTTGGAAATACCCCAATTTGGACGAGTGAAGAGAAAGATATGGCTTCCGGAGGATGCACCAGTATTGCGCGTACCCGAGAACCGAATAGCGAAATTCAAAGATCATGAAGGACGGAGCCCTTCCGGTCCGAACCAGCCTGCCCGGTCTTCATCAAAGTTTGAGATCTGTGAATGAAATTTCCCGAACGTTTGGAATCACTCAATTCGGAGCAATGGTTTGAAAGATAAGGTCTCCGGAGTTCACATCGGTCCAAAAGCTTATTTTCCGATGATTCCAATGCGGTGAAAAGATGTGAAATCCAGGAAGCCTTCCACTTCCCAAGCTCCGACGGTTTCTTTACCAAAGTTCGAGCTTATTGAGTCATCTTGACTATGGAACTGGTCCCAGAGAAATTGGAGTCTTGAGTTGAAAGTTACTGCTTCCGGAAGGCAATATGGTCGATACGAGCCTAAATGAGTTGCGATACGCGCTAAGTATTTTCTCAGGCCTCGGCATCATTACCTCGACATTGCTCAAGTCAAGGCTCATATCTCGGGAGTGTTTTGGACTAGACCTCGTGCCGATGCCTCGGCATGTTGGGATCAAGGCATGCACACGTAAGAGATGAAGCTGGAAACGTCTAAGTGTTGAACGTGCACTTCGGTGTAATGGCCTCGGCGTGCATGCCGGACTCTGTTCTCCCGAACCCCTCGACTACCAAGCCCCGCGACATTTTATGGCGAGGTTCCTTGTCACAAACCCAGAATCAAGAACAAGACGGCTCAAGAACACACACGTGAAGATGGATCAAAGAATAGGGTTCATGCATGTTCTTGACGTGTTCTTCACGAGATCTTCATTTGGATCCTGACTCACGTGCACTCCTCGACATAAAGACCTCGGCTTCACTCTCTGACACACCGTGGCACTCACCCATCAACCCAAGAAGGTGGCTCAGTACCCGGTTTGTTCCGGGCTGACCCACGACACTTTCCCTTTGCTATAAATACATTTTAGGACCAAAAAACCTAATCATCTTATCTCTTATCATCTTTTAGCTCTAAGAACTTGCCTCTTTTGTGAAACTGGATTAATCTAATCCGATATCTCGTTTTTGCATCAGAATCTTGTTCTTTCTTTATCTCTTTTATCATCCAGTGTAAAACTCCTTATCATGACTAGCTACACGTCTTGCAAGGGACTTAGTGAGCTCGTTATGATCAGTGAGTAGTCGTTTAAGCGGCTTTAGATAGGTACATTAGGGTGCTTTCAAGATAGATTAGTGGGTTTAGGTGTCTAGTCTTGCATGTTTCATTCCTTAACCGACGAGATCTCTAGGCTGGATCCAAGCACATCACTTGAGGTTCAGATCTGAGACATATCTCGCATCAAAAGTGTTTGTAGAAATGTCTGAACCACTCGGTTAAGGGTTTAAGAGTCTTTCATCGCGAGAGTGATAGTTTGTTCTCTTAAATGACATTTTTGAACTGAATCTTATTGCTGACTGATTCGTGCTTCTCAAAAGGGATTTTGGTATGAAAGAGGATCAGTTTAGATGTTTAATATTTTCATGAGAAGATTAACATGCCTTGAGTTCAAAGTTAAATGAAATCGCTTGATAAAATGATTCATTAACCCATTAGTTTAGCTTGGATGCACCCGAGTCAAATATCCTGTCTAAAGCTTCTGCCTTTATCACATATTATCATCATCCGAACCATTTGCTTGTCATTTGCATCTTTACTTAGTTTAAATCTCATCTCTTGCTTCATTTTTATGCTCATTCACTTGTTAATTAGTTTAGCTAAAACCTTTATCATTGTCTCTTGACTTAAGATCACAAGTAATATAGATTAGTGTCTCCACTACAAGTTTGGTTTGATAACCCCTTGTACTACAAGGACAGGGGTATTGATAACCTCTTTAAAGAGTGAAAACTCTTAGTTATCACCGTTGAGAATCGTCTTATTAGCTGCTTCAGCTTGACCATTTCCTTGTGGATATCTCGGTGTCGACTTGCTCAATTCTCACAAAAAGCTTCAAACCGAGCCGAGATGAACTGGGATCTGTTGTCTGTTACAATCTTGTAAGGGAGCCCATGTCGACAGATGACATTCTTCCAGACGAAATGCTCGACTTGGGCGTCCTTGATGCTCGCGTACGAATCGGCTTCGACCCACTTGGAAAAATAATCGGTCAGAACCAATAGGAATCGTTTCTGTTTAGACTTGTGCAAAGGTCCGACGATGTCCATTGACCACCTCATAAACGGATAAGGAGCCGAGATTGATGATAACAATTCGGTAGGCTGATGAATAGTTGGGGTGTGTCTCTGGCATTTTTCACTTAACGGAGAACTTCTCGCAGTCTTTCACCATGGTCGGCCAGTAGTAATCGTGTCGCTTTATCTTGATTGCTAAAGATCTTCCGCTTGCATGGTTGCCGCATGCGCCACTATGAACTTCTTCCATGATCTTTCTCGCTTCAGATCCTTCGACACATGTTAGCAACGGTCCCGAAAATTGCCACTTGAAGATGTTTCCATCTAGGAGTATATAACGAGCTGCTTGAGTTTTGAGTTTCCGAGCTGCCCATTTGTCCGATGGCACCTCTCTGTCTGCGATGTATGTCTGAATTGCTCCCATCCATTTTTTGTTGCTTCCGTATTCTGTTGTTTCTTGGGAAGTATCTTCGTCCATGTCGGCTACGCCGTTGTCTTCGTTGATCTCTTGCTCTTCTTCGGGAGGATTGACCAGGTTGACTCCATCTACGACACCGATGCTAGGTTTCTCGATAAAATCCACCGGTATAACCCTCTTCAATCCTGGATCAGAGGTCGAGGCAAGGGCGGCCAGGGCACCGGTGGATGCATTTTCCCGCGATGTATTCACGTAAGCTCGAATTCTTTGAACTGCTCCGTCAACTCTTGAACTACTTTCAGATATGCTTCCATCCTGCCGTCTCTCGCCTCGTATTCTCCATTGAACTGGTTCGCGACGAGCTCTGAATTGCAGAAGGCACGGATTTTCTGGATCCGGATCCCAAGCGCGAACCAAAGTCCAGCGATTAATGCCTCGTATTCTGCGTCGTTGTTGGATGCATGAAACGTCAGACGAAATGACTATTCGATGATCTCACCAATTGGTGACGTTAGCCGTATACCTACTCCCGAGTCCTGTTTCGATGACGAACCATCAACATGCAATGTCCAACTAGACTCGGAGGTCGGCTCTTCTACTCCTTCAGTCGGAAGTTCGATCAAGAAATCGGCAAACACTTGAGACTTTGCGCACGACCTGTTCCTGTATTCGATGTCATATTCACTTAGCTCCACCGCCCATTTTGCTAGCCTTCCGGATTGACTCGGGCTATGCATGATGCATCGTAGTGGCAGAGTAGCGAGGACTACGATCGAGTGCGACTGAAAGTAAGGTCTCAGTTTCCGAGCTGGCATTACGACAGCTAGGGCGACCTTCTCCATTTGCGGATAACGCGTCTCTGCCTTGGTTAAACTGCAGCTCACGTAAAAGACGGGTTTTCCCTGACCAGTACTCCACTTACTACAGTTGATGACACAGCGATATACAGAAACAGCGGTTCTCCTTCCACTGGCTTCGCGAGGACCGGCGGATTCGCCAGGTAGACATTCAGGTCTTCGAATGCCTTTTCACACCATTCGTCCCATTCAAATTTCTTATTGCCCCTAAGGGTATCATAAAAAGGCAGACATTTATCGGTCGACCTGGAAGTAAAGCGGTTGAGAGCTGCTACGCGTCCTGTCAATCTTTGGACTTCTCGTTTTGTTCTTGGAGACGCCATTTCTATCAGCGCGTTGATTTGCTTTGGATTTGCTTCGATTTCTCGATGAGTTACAAGGTATCCGAGGAACTCTCCAGACATCACCGCGAATCGACACTTCGCCGGATTCAGCTTCATGTTATGCAGGTTAGCCGCTCGAAACAGTCTTGCAAATGCTTCACGTGATCTTTCTCCTCGAGTGACTTAACCAACATGTCATCAATATAAACTTCCATTATCTTGCCAAGCTGTTCCGCAAACATTTTGTTGACGAGCCTCTGGTAGGTTGCGCCCACATTCTTAAGCCCAAAAGGTATCACTTGTAGCAGAAAATTCCCCGATTTGTTATGAATGCCGTTTTTTCCCTGTCGTCGGGGTTCATGAATATCTGGTTGCAACCCGACAAAGCATCCATATATGTGAGCAGTTTGTTCTTTGACGTGGCTTCGACTAGTCGATTGATATGAGGTAGCGGGAAACTGTCTTTCGGGGACGCCTTATTGAGGTCGGTAATCTACGCACACACGCCATTTACCGTTTTTCTTCTTCACTACTACGGGATTAGCGAGCCAATCTGGGTATGTGGCCTCGGAAATCAAACCAACCTTTAGGAGTCGCTATACTTCGTCGTCACTGCTTTGGCTCGGTCAGGGCCTAGCTTTCTCATCTTCTGCTTCACCGGTTTGAACTTTGGGTCCACGTTGAGCTCATGGCACGCCACATCGATGCTAATTCCCGGCATGTCTTCCGCGCCCCATGCAAATGTTCCAACATTCTGTTTTAAGAAAGCGACGAGCTCCGCTTTAATCGCCTCGTCGAGTGTTGCTCCGATTTCTACGCACCGCTCCGGATGTAATTCGTCTATGCATATCGAGATCACCGGATCACAGCTCGGCACGCTCTTCTCCTCACGCGCCTTGCCGATCTATAATTTCTATAAGAGCTTGGCGAGCTCGTTGGCAGGTTCTTGATTTGTCTTTAGCTTCTTCCTGTTTTTGTCTGCGACCGAGTCTACTTCGGGCTTTCTCATCTGATGCTCGGCCAGGAAGCACATGCGCGACTCTTTTTGGTTTCCCCATATCGTCTTGATTGCGCCAGGAGTTGGGAACTTGACGCATAAATGATAGGTTGATGGAACGGCTTGCATTGAGTTCAACCACGGCGTTCCCATGATTACATTGTAAATCGCTGGATGGTCAGCTATGGAAAACTCCATGACCTTTGTTACTCCTCCTGCTTGCACGGGAAGCCTGATCGACCCGATCGTCATTGTTGTTTCCCATGAGAATCCTGTTAATGGCTTCGGGACAGCGGTTACTTCGGACAAATCGATTCCCATCCTTCTAAGGGTTTCGCGGAAGATGACGTCTACCGAGCTTCTCGTATCGATTAAGATTCTAGCGACATCATGGTCCCTAATAGTAAGCTCAATTACGAGGGGATCACTATGTGGCGCATCGATTCCCACGGTTTTGTCTTCCGAAAACAAAATTGTGGTAGCGGGATAGCTCGGGGGCTCCGCCCAGTTAACACTTGCATCGGCTCTCCTCTAGAAAGCTTTAATCGACGATACGGTGTCGAGACAGTATTGTGATCCGACCATTATCATATTGATCTTTCTTCTGGGGCCATCTCGCGGATCCTCATTATTCCTCCTTCCTCGCTTTTGGGCTTCGCCTCGGTTCCCTTGCTCTCGGTTTGGGGGGTTAACTTCGTCACCTTCTCGCTTCTCGTCTTCGGGCTCCTTGGCAGCTATGGTTTCTTCGGGCTCTCCTGCTGCTCGTTTTGCGGCGAGTCTGGCTGCCAAGAACCAACAATTTGTCGTTGAGTGCCCGTAGCATTGGTGGTGTTCGCAGAATGCCTTTTCATCATATGTTCGGGGGTTCCGAGTCCAAGTTTTCCATGGTCCTTTGCCTCGTCCTGCTCCCACTTGATAATTATGGGCTCCTTGTAGCCTCGGCCCTTCGTGGTGCACATAGTCATTACTCCTCACATTTCTTTGGCGCGTCGTCAGAGAATTTCGGATCGCCGCTTTTGTCGATTCGTACTGCTCGTCTAGGTTTTTCATCTCTTTTTCATTCACGATAACGTCGGCAGAGCGATGTAGGGCATCTTGGATCGTGAGCGGCGTGTTCAACGCCATTTCTCTTTGGAACTCGGATTTATACCATAGTGATCTTTTCAGGGCTTCAAGGGCTGCCTTATCGCTCACTCCTTCCACCTTTGACACCACCGCTTTGAACCGAGCCATGTAAGTTCTCAATGGCTCGTTCGGTCCTTGAGACAAAGTCCATAGATCGGCATCAGAGGTTCCTCGATCCATAAACATGGAGTACAGCTTCAGAAAATGGTGGATAACTGCTGAAAGTTGTTAATGGAGTTACACTCGAGCCTCGAGAACCACTCCAATGCTGCGCCCTTCAGGTGTTCGACAAAGAGGAGACAGAAACCAGCATCTCTTTCGTCTTTGCTGAGATTGGGGGCGTTTCTCGAGAAGGCTCGGCCCATGCCGATCCGAAAAGCTGTGATGTGTGCCTTTGGGTCGGTTGTCCCTTCGTAAAAGGGTATTCTTATCTTTCCTGGTTCAGGGATCCGGGCTTCAGTGATTCGCGCCGTGAATGGCGTGCGCTGTGTTTCTTCCAACATTCGATCTATCTCCGGTGTCGAACTGTTTGCATGATGGACTTGTGATCGGACCGCTTTCATCTCGGCGGCTGTCCGAGCTATAGTAGCTCGGAGCTCGTTCATCTCCTTCATCTGGTTGTTCTTTCGCGGCTCGTCAACTTTGTCTTCGATACTGCCACCATTTAGAGCGGCTTGGCGTGCGTTACCGCGTTGATTCCCTTTTCGCGCCAAGCTATCTTGTTTCATTTGCTCGACCAAGAGCAAGTTTTCCTCCTCTTTCATCAGGTTTTGATTTCGGAGTGCGGCGTCATCCTCTTCATTCGCTCTTGCTCCTTCCAACGTTTCTTCGAGTTTGGCTCAGGTAATGCGTCCTGAAGCACGGCTCGGTTGGAGGACGAGTTCCTCTTCCTGGTCGTCTTCATCATCGACATTGATCATCTCCTTACAGGTATCTTCTGTGGCCTCACCATTTTTCTGCTTGGCGTGTTTTTCGCTGTGCGCTCTTCTTTTCCGAGCTAGCAGAGGTGGTTCGGTCTGTGTGGACTTCTTCACCGCGGGTGTCACCAAGTTGGACGGATTTTGCTGCGCCCCTCCGAGCCTGTTTGCGGGCGTCGCGAACTCGAGGGCGGTTGGTCGCAGGCCGAACCTTCAAATGGATTTACTCACTAATTATAGTTAACACACTTGATCTTTTGCAAGGAGTGATGTTAAGCATGATTAGAAGCTTTGAATGAGATGGAGAAATGATTTGATGCAAAGAGACACTCTTAAAATCGATTAAGAAATGAGAGATATCTCTTAGAACCAAAGTATTTACACTTAAAAGGCAAAGGAAAACATCCTTAGGGTTTTTCCCAAAATGGTATTTATAGTTTTTAAAAAGGAACCAGGTCAGCCTGGAATAAACCGGGTACTGAACCGGTCTTGCTGGATCTTTGGGTCACACCCTTGGGCTGGACAAGTCTTGTGCCGAGGTCATTATGGTGAGGGTGTCTTGCATCTGGATTGAAAGTAGAAAAACACCCTTGAATCTTGCATGGATCCCTGGGTTTAATCTTCTCGTGAAAAGGTTTTGATTTGAGAATTGTTTATGAGCTGAACTCTGCATGAGAAAGCCTCGGTATAAGCTATCCCGAGGTATTTAGTCGAGGTTTGGCTAAGTTCATTCGCAAGCATCCTCGGCTTGACCTTGTATTGAGGGTCTTGAGCCGAGGTGTTTTACACTTAGTCAAATTCGGGCTCTTGAACCTCCTTCCATGTATTGCCTTGGTACAGCTTTAGGCGAGGTAAATGACTGAGGCTTGACCAAAATATTTTGCAAAAATAGCCTTGGTATATCCATACCGAGGTATTTTGGTCGAGGGTCTTTCCCAACACTTAGCAGAATTTCTTGATTTAGAAGATCACAGCCTTGATACTTAGTTGTTTCATGAGAAGCTTGTGATGATGAAATGCCTCGGCTTGGGCTATGGTGAGGCTTATGGTCGAGGTAGAGACAAAACCTTTCGTGAATATGACCCTCGGTATAGGTATCCCGAGGTGTCCAAGCCGAGGTTCTTGTGAAACACTTAGCATAGATTTGCTCCTTGAAACCAGAACTGATATGTGTGTCTTCTGCTTCTTGTAACTTTTATCTCACAACTCCAAATGATATGAAACCAAGTCCACGTGACAGATCAGTCCAATAGCTCAAATTTTGGTTAAGAACTCAATTGTATCCGGGGAGTGGAAGGTCTCCCGGACAGCCAATCCTTACAGTGCATCAGAAAGATCAGAATGAGGCTTCTAGACCCGCGTTCATTCCGGAAACGTTATCTTCCAGTTCAGAGCTCAAAACTGTATGATCTCAAGTGTTCTGGAAAGAAAACTCGACATTCTTGAATCTTGATGAATGCTCCGGAAACTGAATCGGAGAGGAAGGGCATCGTCCATCATAATCTTTAAAACACATCAGATCGGTCTAAAATGGAAGCGTCTTCTGATGGCTTGATAGGCAAGAGTTTTTAAGTCTTGAGGGCTATCAATCCCCTTGTCAAAGTATTGTAAAGGGTGTCAATCCAAGAATGTGGAAGCTAGACACTAGACTTTATGATCTGTTACTTAATTCAAGCAAACAAGTGAGGGTTGGTTTGAACTAATGATTAAAACAATAAACTTAACAAGATTAATAATAACAAATGATCAAAAGCAAGAAACAAGTGATAGCAAATGACAACTGAATGATAACAAGATGAGAAAACTAAGCCTCTAGGTGTAGTCATTGATTAGGGTGCTTTAAATGTAAACTAATGATGTTAAACAACAATGCAACACTTGCTACTATTTCGTCTAGGCTTCTTAATCAAATTAATCCACTCTCATGACAGAAATCCCTTTGCAAATCACTTAATCAAGTCTAACAACCATTAGAGATAATCAAGCAATCAACAAGCATAATGTTCCAAGCCTAATAAGTGACCAAACAATCTCTAGCAAAGAAAGACTGAATCTTATATAGAAAGACATAGCAAGCAATCACATGATCTCTAATCCAATCAACTTAGAGTTTAAAGTTAGACTAATCCTCTCATGAAGGTATTAATCTCTATACTAATCCACTTTCAAACCAAATTCCCATTTGTGAAATATGAACTAGTAAGCATTAAGAATCAACTCTAATATGTCATTTATGCAATTAACAAACATCATCATGGCATTAATGCATAAACCCTTAGTTAGCTTTCATTCAGGCATTTCATCATACATTTTTGGTTGCATGAAATACCCAGATTCTAGACCCAAGTGATGTGCAAGGATCTAGCATTAGGATCAGCTAACTAAGGAAATGAGAAGATAATCTAAGCTTAAACAATAATTAATCTACATCTAAGCACCCTAAATCTACACACCTAGATGCTTAAAGAGAGACTACTCACTAATCATACTTAACTCTCTTAAACATTTGCTAGTAGAGTAGTTTAGCATGATTAGAGATTAGAAATGAAGATGGAGAAGATAGAGGATGATCGATTTCAGCTTTAAACACAAAAGATCCTTGATTTCTTTTGATTCAAACCCAGAAAATGAAGATATCTCTTACAAAGTTTTTGGTCTTTCACAATTAATTAGAGAGAATAAAGCTTAACTCCAAATTGACTCCAAAACACCTGTAAACACTCCAAAAGTGCAAGACTCTCTAGGACCTAATGCAATTACTAACTAAAGTTATAAATAAAGACAAAATAATGTAAAACTACCTAAATGTATGCATGAGACTCAATATTCGGACCAAAAATGCAATCCTAAGTATGCAAATTATGAATATATCAACTCCCCCACACTTATCCTTTGCTTGTCCTCAAGCAAAAAAACAAAGAACAAATGAGAGAAAGATGTTGAATGCATTGGGAGTTCATATTTCCTTTGGAAGAGAGAAGTGACCACTAAGAGAATTCAAGTTCATGCTTAATATGCAATGCAAACACCTCAATCCTCTCCAACTTTGAAGAAGACCCCGAAGCCAAATCTGACGTTAAGACAACCAGCACGACTGATCTTTGATGCGTGTTGGGAACTGGAAATTTATGCCGAGTCTTCATGTAAGTAAGCTTTTTGGCCGAGAATCTGTTCCGCAGTAAGCTTTTTGGCCGAGAATCTGTTCTGCGGTAAGCTTAAAATTCCAACCCGTCTCGGCATAAAACTAAGCCAATGCAGAACTTGATCCTGTACAGCCTTTATCCGATGAAACCTCCACCCGGTAAGCAATTTGGCTGATGGTTGTGTGATCCAGGCACAAGCAACACCCGATAAAACCTTCTCCACCCGGTAAGCAATTTGGTCGATGGGAAGCTTCCCGTGAAGGGTTTTTAGCCGATAGAATCTTTCCTGTGGTACATGCTTTGGCCGATAAACTCAAACATCTTGATTTCACCATTTTTCAACCTCCAAACTCCATTTAAACACCTGGTCTCAACTCTTCTCCTCCAAACACTCCAAAGTACCTGTTTAAGACTTCAAACCATGCAAAGACTCTTTTGGACCTAATGCAACTCCTAAGTCATAAAACAATGCCTAAAGACCTAAAATGCATGAAATGAGACATGATTTGGAATGAAATATGTAAGCTAAATGATGCAAATTATGAACATATCAGTATCACAAGCATGTATATTCTTATTTTGAAATTTAAGAAGTTGACTTACCATGCTTTATAGCTCAGAAATCTCCCTTGACTCATGACCAATGATAGTCTTCTTTGATCTGTCATACTCAGGGTTGTTGTTGCTGTTAGCTACAGCCAAATTTTCGATGAGTGCTCTCCCTTGTAATATCGTTTTCAAACTGAAATCTCCATTGCTGGAAGTGTCAAGAGAAAGTTGATACTTCTGCTGAATTCCTCTATAGAAGGTGCTTAGCAGGTTTCTCCAGAGAAACCATGATGAGGGCAGTCTCTCTTATACTCTTTAAATCGCTCCCAAGCTTCATTCTATTGGGCCTTGTTGGAACTTTGTATCTTGTTTCTCAGCTGGTTCGATCTTGACTTGGTGTGGAGGTGGTTCAGGAAAGCTGACTTGCATTCTTCCCATGAAGTAATAGAACCGGTTGGCATAGATTTTAACCATCTAAAAGCTTTATCACTTAGAGAGAAAGGGAAAAGCTTACACTTCACATAGTCCACAGTGGCTGGAGTGGTTCTCACTGATAACACCGTATTTTGACCACTTT